CAAAACAGGATATCAGATTGAACAGAACTTCTGTTGGATCTAATGGGATCCCAAAGGATCCCCCTCCCCAAAAAAGGGCAATTGAATTCTCCGGTGTTTTCATTGAAAACATTTCACTTCCCATCCAAGAAGCTTCTTAAGTTCAGAGAACTCAAGTTCAGAGAACTCAAGTTCAAAGACTTCAAAAGAAAACATCAACCAAGTCCAGTTGCCTTTGGAAAAACAAACATCCTTGGGACAAGCATGACCTGGAGGATTGAGAATCTCCATAGACAGATCTAATGGGATTTACAGTATAGTTACTGCAGATATACCTTCTTCTGTGCAGCTGTTCCTACAGCTGTTCTTCTTTTTCTCTTTTCTTCATTTACACACCTGCCAGCAATGAGACGGGAAATGCCTGGATCTACTAAGTCGTACTATGCTACATGAAAGCTAGTGGCAGCATCTGCAGGCGCCAGGATTTGTATCCGGGAAAGTTAGGGATATGAGGTTCCAAATGACAGATCCTGAACTGAGCAGGGGGTTAAACTAGCTGCCATTTGAGGTCACTGCCAACTCTAGGACTCTATAAAACAACGTGACCGTGGTCATGAGTTCCATGCAGCTCTCAGGTCACCTGAAGACGACCACTCTTGAGTTTTATAAATACAATTATTACATATTTGACACAGCTCTCAATTCCAAGTAGTGCAAAATAAAACCAAATGCATATGAACTCCAGAGTTATGTTCCTCTTCTACATACAGTTTCTGCCAATCTTTTGTGCTACCTGGCGAGGCAAGCATTTAGAAAGACCTAGAAAAAGCAGTACCTGAAGGATGCAGCAAATCTACAAGAAGAAAAACGTGGAATATATTTCTCACAAGTGTTTTGAAATACCCTACGTGTATGTCTCTGGTTTCGTAGCAGCTGACTTATATAGAAGGAATCCATTAAATTCAATTTCTCCCAAGTTTAGCACAGCCACCAAGAGATGCGGTATAGATCTTCTCTGGTCTGTTTATGCCATCCACTCACATGCTACAAAGGTTGTTTGGAAAAAGGGCCATCATGGGCGCATTGCAGAAAAATAACAAAACAAAATCAAGATACGTTTCCAAAGATGTCCTGCAGTGGAGATAAAAGTCATCAATATTTCCTTGCAGGAAAAAACTGACGATCTTATGTTTTTTTGGAAGTCTGCGCATTGACCAATCTTTTCTTTGCAACGGTTGGATTGGATTGCGCCTTGATTCTGGAGACTGCGGCCTTTTTCTGTTTCAGACTACTGCTTTGAAGGGGTTTCAGTCCTAACATCTCACAATATTTGTTGCACAGGTGGAGAATCTTAAACTGATCGATAAAAGAGATGGAGCAATTGCCTTTGAAACCTTTGTACCTGCAAAAGGAGAGACACACAAAAAAAATGGATTTAAATCCTCTAGCTTCATGTATTTATTTATTTTTAAAATGATTTCCACAAAAATGCTTAATCTTCTTAGATTGAAATGACAAAAATGTGTGTTCTTTGTACCAGCCATTGCTGGTATCATCACTACACCAAGCCACACCAACCAGCTTATGTTATAGAACTAACAGCGGTATCTCATTTTTACCTAGGTTAATTTTTCATTCAACCATTTCCATTTTCCAAAAGAAGTCTTTATTCAAGCGTTGTGGTGACTCTTGCGAAAAACAAAACAAACCCAAAAACCCATCCAGGATTGGTGACGAGGAAATATGGCAGCTCACATTTTTCCTAGCTGAAGCTACTGTATTTTTTGGAGTATAAGATGCACCTTCCCCCCCCTCCCCAAACAGAGGGTAAAAATCTGGGTGCGTCTTATACACTGAATGCAGCATTTTTGGCTTCCTAAAACCATGCCCCCTTCACAAAAATGGACATGCAGAGGGTTTGGGAGGCCTGCAAATTGCTCCTGGGGGCTGGGGAGGGCAAAAACAAGCGAAAAACGACCCATTTTTTGCTCATTTTTGCCCTAGCCCCCAGGAGCAA